ATCCATCCATCCATCCATCCATCCATCCATCCATCCATCCATCCATCTGTCCGTCCATCCATCCATCCATTTTTATCCAGTAGCTTTACTCCTAGAGGTGCTCTCCCCATCCCATCCCACACCCCCACTTCCACGCCACCTACCTGAGTGTTCCTTTTTCCTTTTGGATGCCTTTCTCTCCGTCTCCATCGCGCTGTTTACCGGCACCTCGTAATCTTCTCTTACACCCGCTGCTGTGCTCACGAGGTTGGGACTCTCTGAGTCCCCAGAGGCCAAAGTCAGCCCTGGGCTCAGCAGTCTCCTGGCCTCTGTCGTTGCTTGCTGCCACTCAGAGTGGGGACGGAAGACTGGGGGCTGCTCCTCGGTTGGGACGCAGTGGGCAGCGCTCAGCAAGCAGGAGGCTGAGAATTCGGAATAAGCAGCAAAATCCGCCTTGGGGTGGAAGGAAAAAGGGGTCGGAGGGCAGTGACCCAACCCCGGGGCTGTAGGGACGTCGGCACCTCGCAGGCAACCCCAGAGTGGGGCTGGGGGTTGGGGGCTGCGCATGCAGCTGCCGCCGGTGGGGTCCATCCTTGTCCCGCGCTCGTCACTTGGGTTCCTCAAGCAGGAGAAGAGAGGAGGGGAAATGTTTCCAAATTTGACAGCCCAGATTTCCTCCCTAAGCGACACTTTGGCGGGGGGCTTTGTGCGGTTGGAGGTTTGTTAGTTGGAAAACTCTTCTCGAGATCTTCATTGTCCCAGATGGATGGAGGAGGAGATCGCCCCAAACGGGGTCCCAAGGCTGATGCTGGAGTCCTTGTGAAGTGCTGGACATGAGGGAAACACTTTTTAAATACTGTGTTGGGGAGAGAGTGACAACTTTGTGAAGTGAAATGTGAGAGAGGGGAGGGAGGGGTTAACGTACACACACCCGCTCCCTCCAACCAAAGCAAAGCAGCACCTATTAATCATCCGAAACCTTATATGCACATCTAATGGGATTTGCAGATGGAGACTTTTAAAGAAACAATGTCTGTATTTTTTTCTTCCCCCCCCCCCCAAAAAAGGGGGGGGGGGGGGGGGGGGGGGGGGAGAGGGGGGTAAAGAGCAGCACACATGCACACACACACACAAAAAAAGGCTTTAATGTTTCCCTGTGACACTATGAAGTTATTTTTATTGCACTGTTAACAAAATTCCCCGAGTCTTGGGGTTGGAAAAAGCCTTAATACGGAATTCAACAGATGCCAGAATCCAAGAAGCAAAGTGGGAAATAAAAGTAAGAAAGTGCTTCACTGATTATTTATGATTTAAGGCCAGGCTGTAATATATTTTTTAGGTGACTTGTGTGCACGTGCACAGTTTTGAGGGATTTTTGTTCTTTTAGCTTTGTAACACTTGTCTTTGCTGATGGTTACTGCCGGTGGCAGTTATTCTTTCTCTATCCTGCTTTCCAGGGAGTTCTCCGTATGCCACTCCTTCTTACAAGGAAATCTGCCTTTGTGCCAATGTGAGACGTGTTTTTCATCTTTTGTTGAAAGTTTTATGGTTCTTTTTAACAGAAAGCAGATCCGCAGACCCCAGATCTGCTGCTGCTGGGTGGGTGTTAGCAGGGAATCTGCTCTCCATCCCTTTGACACGGAGAGGTGGCACCTGGGAACACCCCGAATATCACTGCAGAGCTGCAGTGGGGTTACTGCAATGGTTTGTGTGTTTTTAGGGGTGATTTACACAGCCACGTGTGCTGTGTTTCTGTAATCTGCTTGCGACCTTCTCCGTTGCTTTGCTATGCCTCTCTACAGGTCCATCTCTTTCCCCTTCTCCCACCGTTTGGGCTGGGTTTATGCTCTCATAATCACAGAGGGATTTACCAGATGGGCACAGAGCCTCCATTTTTTCTTTTTCTTTTTTTCCCATGGCTTTAAGTGCTACTTTTATTTGGCTTCTGTATAATTCAGCGCTGTGACATTTAGAGGAATCAAATGGAAGGAGAGGTGTGCTCATCCCAATCCCTGCTGGGTTATAGCTTGGGCTTTTCCAAGCAATCAGGTGGGCTTAGCCCAGATCTTTCTGATCAAGAACATCACCTTTTACCTTCACATTAATGTGACTTTCTTGCAAAATGCCAAACACAATTCATCCTCCAGGAAGGGCTCTCCTGCATAATTCAACCTGTTCAGAGAGCAAACATTCAAACACGTTTCCCACTGCCTGGCAGGAGGAAAGAGCACAGATTGCTATGTCTGGAAGGCCAGGTGGCAAAGGATGTGTGGATATTTTGGGCACCAGCAGGATCCAGGCTAGAGCCCAGAGTGGTTTTGCCAATGCAGAATATTTCATTTGTGTTCACCCCCCAAAGTCATGCTGGGTAGTACAGATTTGCATGAGCTCAAGTCTAGGTCTGTGTTTTTCAGCCCTGCTCCCAGTTCCAGCTAATTAAACAACTACCTACTTCTCATTTATGTCCGTGCATGTATATTAAGGGAAATAGAAGGGAAGGGAGGATTATCAGTCGATGCATTGCTCCTTTTAGCCAGGGGAAGGTTCAGGTTCCCATGGGACCCCAGCAGGGCTCTGACCGTGACGCACGGTTTGGTTCTCGCACATCGCTTTGCACCCCCAGTTCAACCACTCGGACCCCATTTTCCCCACAGAGCTCTCTCTGTTGTTGTTCCTCTGACTTCAGATGTGGGAAAAGGAGACGGCAGACCCTCCCCAAATGTGGGAACCCCCCGGTCCCTCACTGCCCCAGCACTCCCTGCAGCTGCTGCTGTCACTCAGCGGCCCAGCGGGGGCTTGTTTGCCCTCTACATCTTCCTGACACTTCAGGAAGCAAAAACAACAGCCCTCCCCTCTTGCCAGAGCCCATTTGTTGGACGAGGCAGCCACCTTTAACCTCTGCAGAATCAACATCTCTTCTGCCAGACCCCAGGCTGGGCGGGAAATACAGGATGGATGGGTGCGATAGGCTTCAAACCCACTGCAGCAAGAAGCTCAGAAATAGAGGTGAAAAACAAACCTGGGCCAGCTGAGGCTTCTGTATCAGCAAAGACCCACAATAAATACACTGGTGCTGATGTGAGATTGTGCTTGTTGGCACGGCAGATGCTCCTGGAGACAGTTCAATATTCCATTAGGAAGTCATCCTCTGCCACGCGGAAGACATCGCACTCCAAGGAAAGATTGTTGTTGATTCTTTGCTCTCTTATGTCTGCTTTTGTGAGTCTGCAAAACTGCAACACAACGTGCAGGGAATGGGGAGAAGAAGGGTTCCCAGCAAGAGGCTGGGCCTATCCTGAGCCTTGCCTCATTATCTGGGTGGTTTTGGTGGGTCAAAGGATTACAAAACTGGGTCCTAGCACCCAGAAGCTCTGAAGTGCATTTTCAGAGGCATTTTGTAGCTATTGGGTCACAGTTCTTATTCTTGCCTGGCAGAAATAAGCTTTGAGGTGCTGGAGTGTGTCCAGAGAAGGACATTGAAGCCGTGAAGGGTCTGGAGCACAAATCTTACGAGGAGAGGCTGAAGGAACGGGGATGGTTCAGCTGGGAGAAGAGAAGGCTCAGGGGGAGACCTCATGGCTCTCTACAGTGCCCTGAAAGGGGATTGAATTGAGAGGGGGGTCTGCCTCTGCTCCAACGTAACAGAGATAGGATGGGAGGTGATGGCTTCGTGTTGCACCGGGGGGGGCTCAGGTTGGATATTAGGAACAATTTCTTCTCATAAAGAGTTGTGTGAGCCATTGGCACGGCTGCCCAGGGGGGTGGTGGAGTCACTGTCCCTGGAGGTGTTCAAGAACCATGAGGATGTGGCACTGAGGGATGCAGTAGTGAGCATGGTGGGATGAGTTGGGATCTATGCAAGGGATCTACATAAGGATATATCTACATAAGAAGATCTGGGTTCAGTATCAGACCCATATGTCTGTAGGAATGGTAACCACAATGTGTACTGAGAGCTGCTGTCCCAATTTATTGCAGCTGTTGGTTTGCAGGTATTGAGGGTGAAGTTGTCTGCTCCACCATGCATAAAGATGGTGGCTGGAGAAATGCCAGAGTGGGCACGTGAGTGGTAAGCAAAGGAGTAAACACACAGAGAGATGGAGCATGAGCAGGAAGGAGGGGGAAGCGGGTCCTGGAGGGCTGCACTCCACCTGCAAGGGGCTGGGGCTGAGCTGGAGAGGAAATGCCAAGCCCAGAGATGGGCTCTCTGGGTCCATCTGTCAATTTAATAGTTTTCTCAGCATCCTGAAGGAATAAAAGAACAGAAAAAAAAGTGTAAAGCTTGGGCTAATCGAGGCAGTGAACCTGGGAGGGAAAGATGATCTCCTTGAAATGAAAGCTAAAGAGCTGTGTGGTTAAAGAGCTGTATTAAAAGACATTAGGTATTGGACAAAACGTCAGGAAACATTAACTTGCGTTTTGCTGTAATCCCCTATGGCAAATTAGTCTGGTTTAAAAGGCCTGGATTTGCAGGAAACCAGTGTGAGGGTTTTTATGGTTTTGGGGGAGGTAATGGAGAGAGAAAGGCTGTGTTACCTCAAAAAAAGCAGCGGTTTGTCATGGTGGTATCAGCTGCTTGGTAGATTTGTCTCTCCAAACTTCTAGGAATGGGATTGCTGTCTGTTTGTAGGGAGAGCTCATGCAGCAATGATGTGATTTTGGGGAAATTGTGCTGGAGAAAAGGCCCCAAACATCTTCTCAGGCTGAAGTATAATACCTACCCTGGGTTACACGGCCATTCGTGCTTTAAGCCTGGAAGAATTTTGTCCAAAAGGCACAGTAAAAGAAGTTTAAATTATATATATGTATACATTCAATCCTATCATCTGTTGTTCATTTTCATCCTAACATCATTCTCATGCTTCAGCTGCAAAATCAGCAAGCAGGTTACAGCAGGTTCCTATTGCATCTCCTGAGGTTTGAGGCAAACAGCCCCAATTGCTTCTGCACACAAAGGCGACTGGAGGGGAGCAGCAGTGGAATGAGCATTTCCTCACCCAGCACAAGGGTGAGAACAGTGAGCAGTGAGAGCCATACACATCCAAGCAGTGTTTTGTTAAGCAAAGCACGAGCTTAGGATTTGTGAAGCTTTCCATCCCAGAGATTGATGCTGGAGCTGCATTTCTGCCCAACGCAGGCTGTGCAATGGCAGGGAGCATTGAGTCTGGGTGATCTCGTGATTGATACATTAATTAATCTGGATTGTCTCTCTGCTGTGGTGCTCTCAAAAGCGTGATTTCAGGGGCAATCTTATGACAATATTTCAATTGATTTAATGACTCAAGCTTTTATCCTCCACCTCCTATTTCAGCTGGTCTGTTCCAAACAGTTGACTTAAAAAAATAATGAAGGGAGAAAGGATGGAGCTCAGTTACTGTGTTCATTTGGAAACTTTGCTGTCTCCTCTTCCTTCCTACTGCTTTCCTTGGGACTCCAGCAATGGAAACAGTGAGAGCAGCATCACATTTGTTACTATTTGGCCTCAGTTGTGCTGAGCCATTTGCAAGCTGCATCTGACTACATGCACTCATCATTTTCATACCTCTAAAGAGATTGGCAGATCTTCTATCTGTTGCATTTGCCCTTTCCTT